GCATATCAAACAATTGCTGAAAAGAAGTCTAAAAAAAATTCAAGCTTCGACGAGATTCCGGCCTCCAGCTTTCGATTTACTAACTTAACTTGTGTTCTCCCGATATTCCACGTGGGTTTCTTCCAATATTGTGTGTGACATAATTTAAAACTTACAGAGCGGATTGTGTTTTTTCTCCATACCATGCTTAATTTCCAACCAATCGATTGTCTCACTCTTGCTTTCACTGCCAATTTGTAAACAACTTTGGATCTGTGAGTGTTTTTGTCTTTGTTGTTAAAGAGGCTTTTAATTTGCCTTGTTTGCCACAGGATTACAAAGATGAAATTAAAATCAGTGAACTGGTTGAGTTTTGCAACAACGTCTTACCGAGTTTTTCGTTTTTACCACAAAAAGGAAGCTTGATAAAAACTTTCTTTCGATCTTCGAAGAGAAAATTCGGAATAATGTTGTCATCTTGTGATGAGTCGTTTAGAAAGTTGTTGATTATGTGCGAAATAAAACGTTTGGGATAACCTGCATCGATAAAAGATGTTTCAAGAAATTTTATGTCCTCGTAAAGGTCGGTAGAGATGCATTTGGCTCTATGGAGTGCGCCAGTGATGCAATTCCTTTTCCATTTCGTAGGGACCTCCGATTTCCAATGTGTTGGTAGTTTTCCTGGTTTCTTGAAGACGCTGCAATGGAACTTGTTGTTATAACTAAAGGCAGTATCGAGGAAGTGGTTGGGGTTTTCCTTGAAAGTAAAAACAATTTTAGGGTGGTAGTGATTTAGTCATTCAAATAGAGCATCGATATCAGGCTCGTCCTTTTTTCTTCTTAGAGAGACAGTCACATACCGATCATAGAAAGGCTGGGTGAAAAGTTGGACTACCGTCATCAGCTTCTAATTTAGCCATGAAAATATTTGCAAGGACTGGAGATGGTGGGTCTTTCATGCCGCATCCATCAATTTGTTTATATAAAGTGTCTTTTAAAGCTGAAAATTGTGTTCTTGGTGACATTACAAAGAAGGCGTCTGAAGAGTAACTTTGAGCTGAGTTGTGGTAGCTTGTTGTTGGTGTAAATTTCATGAATTATGTGGTCAATGGTTGTTTCATCGAGCGGACTTCAGTAAAGAAAGAGGACACATCATACAAGAGCAAGACTTCAACATCATCAAAAGTTCTGTTTCTTAGACACTCAGCAAAATCGGTGGTAGTTTTGATGCTGTATTCGGTTCTCGGTGAGAGGAAGTAGGTAAGAGGCTAGGAATTTGGCGGTTGCGTTATAAAAGGCTTCACAAGTGCTGACAATCGGTCGAAGTTTCAGGTTGTCCTTCGGAATTTGTTCAGGGTTCTGGAATTTATGGGTTTTGGCGGTCCCATATAGGAAAGCAGGCTGGTTTGATGTCGGTTGGATTTTACTCAGAGGCAAAGATGACTTAAAGTTTCGGGTCAGAAAAGCTTGAAAAGATTGAGGTCTTTTA